CATCGGCCTACAAGAAAATCTGTCACCAAAGTATACCAATATATAGAAATATAAACATACATTATACTCAAAGGTTTTAGACTACTTCACTACTCCTAGTAAAGGACCTGTTTTCACTGAGCTTGCATTTAATTTTCACAGTGTACGTTGTTTAGGATTTTAAAAAGGCAGCACTGCTATAGTCAGCCAGTTGTAGACATAATGCAACAACGAAAACAGCTCATCATTGGTGATACAGAAATGTTGGAAACAATTGACCCACATTCTCAAGTTTATCAATTGTGAATAATATGATGAATAAACAGAAGACCAATAGACGTTCTAATGTGTAGAATCTGCACAGTTGTCCTTACTTAACCACACCTTACTCCATACAGTTATAACACATTAAAACCGTCAGGCAAGACTTGACTGAGAACTATGGACTGCATCCGTAGCTGCATATCACGTTTGTGAATGGCAAGGTATTGACTCACATTGTACTTAAAGCACCGAAATCAGCGTAAAGAACACTGACTGAGATGAATCTTGATTTGCATTATTTATTTTGGATGAAGACATCTGGGTTTGAGGGAAAGGAAGTGACATCATGATATGTGGACCTGTTTTAGCTGATTTAACCTTTGAGCGGTTACATGACTCGAAAATACATTATCGTATTGGATCTGGATTGGTGAAATCCTATAGAAAAGAACCTTACCTCTTTCAGAATCCTATACTACATAAGAGATAAGTTGAGACAAATAATGTCCAAACTCTGCCTTGGAGAGCCGAGATCCCCGAATTTAAAGCTAATCTGAGGTGTTTTGGAACTCTACCTTCTGAGGAGCCGATATCCCTGAATTTAAAGCTAACCTGAGATGTTTTGGGGCTCTACCCTTCTGAGGGACAAAAAGTACAAACCAAGAAATCCCATCACACTTGGATAGCTTTGCTAGGGTAGGACTGTTATATTCCACCAGCTGTGCACTAATGTAAAGCGTTCGTAACAGAGTGTAGACTGTTGTTAAAATTAAAAGTTTCACTCATTATGAAAATGAGGTCCAAGTGGCGAAAAGAAAAAAAAACCTCTAGTGAAAGTATGCTGTCCCAGTTCTTGGTAATGCAGGATATATTCAATAACTGAACATTCATTTACACACATATAAATAAATCTGGTTCACACATTTTATATAATAACATTATTTCAAATAAATGAAATATTGTTACAAAAACAATGTTAATTACCTGGCCCCAACAAAGTGGATGACATCCTTGTCCAAGTCATAAAGAAACTTGGAATCTCTGTAACCCCATCCATTCCACTTCATAAAATCTTGCCTGCAGATAGGTAAGCTTGTTTATTGGAAGGACATAAACATAAAAAGATAAATGTATATTGCTAATGCAAAAATTATACGTGAAGGAACAATAACCTATTCCTAGGTTCTATAATACTAGAAAGAAAAACAAAAAACTTGAACTTTTGAATTTTTAAATTTCAAACATATGCTTCACATAAGAAATATATAATTTTCGCAAATAACTAAACTTTATCCTCATTTATTAATTTTTCATCGAAATTATCAGTTGTTGGCGGAGCCTGGGTATACAAAGCCGAAGATGTTATTTGCAAAATAACCAAAGTACTCCACTCAATGCGACGTGCTTTATCAAAAAAAAATTAATCAATAATATATTCTTTGATAGATCTTTTATGCAGAGTATTCACGATGAAACTCAGTAGAATGGACGACAAGTGCCTGTTGTAGAAACACAAGCAGTAGTCGTCCATTCTACTAAGTTTCAATATATAATGTAGTTAAATGTCGAATTCCTACTTTAACTTTCGAGAAAAATAAATAAAAAAGTTGCTCTATCAGTTAAGATATTTTTAGGTTTAGGTACGAAAGGAATATAGATTTTACTCATCAAATATATATACGCCTCAAAGTGGCTGAGCTAAAACTGGGGATTTTGATCCCTTTGGTGAGCAAAGGGCAAATAGCTCATTGTGAAGCTTTGCGCTTAACAACAAAACAATCAAACAAGTATAAGTTGTGCTTTTTTTACTTATCCACAAGTCGACATAGGCATGACTTGGAAAATGTCACCACTACTCTTTTATGGTTGTTTTATACCTCAAATGTATAGCAGTTATGGATAACCAATACTACTCACAGTTCTACAATAATGTCTTCTAACAACCATTTGGCCGAATACATTAATTAGTTTGTATATAAATTGTTATTAAATTATTTTTTTCTTTTTACAGCTTTTAATTCAAGGTAAAGCAGACATAAAATTCATATTAATTAAATTAGTAAATTTCTTTGACACCAAACATTAGTGCATAAGTTATGGGAAGATAATGAAGAAATCTAGTCGATAATTAATCTGTGAAGTTCAAAAATACCAGGTGATATATGCTAATGTTATGCAAAGTTGCATACAAAATAGTGTTATTAATAATGGTAACTAAAAGCTAAAGTCCCTTCTGGTGGCTTAGCGGCAAGCTTGAGGGATTATAACGCTAAAACTTGGAGTTAGATCCTTTTGAGAGGCACAACCTAGCTCATTACGTGGCTGTGCGCTTAATAACAAACAAACCAAGAGAAAATTAAGTAACGTTATCACACATTTATCTAAGTTGCGGAACCTTGTGACTAGCAACAAACCAACAGAAAGTTAGATTACGTTATCATAAACTTACCTTCGTTGCGGAACCTTGCAACTAACAACAAACCAACAGAAAGTTAGATTACGTTATCATAAACTTACCTTCGTTGCGGAACCTTGCAACTAACAACAAACCAACAGGAAGTTAGATTACGTTATCACAAACTTACCTACGTTGCGGAACCTTATGACTCTCCCTGTGATTGTTACTACTGGATTTCTCCATGAACACATTGCTTCCTTTAATATGTCCTTGGATTACGGACAGTCTTTCGGCAGCCATGTTGATGATGTTGGTCTATTTTTAATAATACCAAGGTCTTCTGAACAAGATGCTTAATGAGAGGAGATCTAGGTAGAAAAAAAAACTTAATAATTTTGAAAATATTTCTAGTTTAATGACTCCATAAATCACCGATTCAAAAATGCTTTAAAAATTTATTTATATAAGAAATAGATTTTCATCTCTTAAAAAAGAAATGTTAAATAAGTTAAAGGGTTATTTTGCATCGCAAAATCTACACATATCCAGCTTGAATATATACTCTTTCCTGGTTCAGTGTTAAAGGCATGGATAGTTTATCAATGTTGAATCGCTTGAACCCTATATCATTAACTCGCGATTATATAAAATGAACGATAATTAGTTCTGAAGTTTAATGTTATGTATTATACTTTATTATAGGTACGTGAAATTATCACATAAGCCCACAAATGTTGGTGAACGAAAATGCAGTCACGTTCTTGCCATCGCGTTGTATCTTTCGTTTAAAGAAACCACTTAAAATGAGGCCCTTTACTGTTCTGATAACTTTACAATGAATGAAACAATTGAGCCCATTTTATCACCAAGCTCCCTGTTTAAAGGAGAAAGCATGTTGAAAGAACAAAAACTAAAAGACAAAAATAATATGTCTTAAAAAAGCACTAAATTACTTTTATCATATTTTGTGGGCCAATTTTTAAATACAAAACATATAAATAGGTTATGAGTCGTCTTGTTGAAATGAACAATTTGAGCCAGAAAACGTTTTGAATTTGATCATTATACAAATAACTATGTTGAGGAAAAGTCTCATCTAGTTTGGGGATTTGCTTAACATTGATTTGGATTGCTTTAGGTTTTACTAAAGTAACAGGCTTATATATATGCTTTTATTTAATTGGTTAGTTCACATTCAGAATAGATCAGTTTCAAATATTCTTATGTAGATGTGTTTATTTATTAGGTGTATTACGCGTATAACTTTCTTATTATTATTATTTAATTGATTAATAATATGAGATTAATTATACTTAGTTAATTAACCCAATGTAGAAAATGATAGCAATGTGTATCATGTATCATACAAAATATGACAAATATATCTTTCCTAAAGGACCAAAAGATAATAACATACATTCATCCCCAAAGGACAATAAAATACATCTATCCCCAAAAGACAATAAAATACATCTATCCCCAAAAGACAATAAAATACATCTATCCCCAAAAGACAGTAAAATACATCTATCCCCAAAAGACAATAAAATACATCTATCCACAAACGACAATAAAATACATTCATCCCCAAAAGACAATAAAATACATTCATCCCCAAACAACAATAAAATACATTCATCCCCAAAAGACAATAAAATACATCTATCCACAAACGACAATAAAATACATTCATCCCCAAAGGACAATAAAATACATTCATTCCCAAAAGACAATAAAATACATTCATCCCCAAAGGACAATAAAATACATTCATTCCCAAAAGACAATAAAATACATCTATCCACAAACGACAATAAAATACATTCATCCCCAAACAACAATAAAATACATTCATCCCCAAAAGACAATAAAATACATCTATCCACAAACGACAATAAAATACATTCATCCCCAAAGGACAATAAAATACATTCATTCCCAAAAGACAATAAAATACATTCATCCCCAAAGACAATAAATACATTCATACCCCAAAAACAATAAAATACATTCATCCCCAAAAGACAATAAAATACATTCATCCCCAAAAGACAATAAAATACATTCATCCCCAAAAGACAATAAAATACATATATTCCCAAAGGAAAACACTGGAGTCCAAGAGTATTTAAATGATAATGTGGAATAGTTTAAAAGGAGTATAATCGTGTCAAATAAGCATGTAAGTAAAATGTCTTTAATTACATATAATACACATTATAAATTACCATTACCTTAGAATGTAATATGGCCAATGAACTTGGAAGAAATTGAAATAAAACACAAAAATCTAGATATTTTCACAATGATTCTGTTATTTATCTTATCCGTAGAGAAATGATATGAAAAAATATATTATATTTTCACTTTAAATACATACTTTAAAGGAAAAATACTGTCATATTCGATAGGAATAAGGTAACTTGGAATAAAGCAAGAGCTATTGTAAATCAATTCTTTACGTAACACGTAAATACATTAAATAGTACAGTTAAAGGCATTGTTTTATTTTTAAAAAATAACTTCTATATTAATGCTATATTTATATTATAAATTTATAAAACTTGGGATTAATCTTATTATCTCATAATTTTCAAAAACAATTTTCTGGAAACACTGTCAGAAAAAAAAATGTTAAAAGTAATCAGTCTTGTTAGGGTCAGAGATATCGGTCCCCAAGTGAGTCAGCTGTATGTTTACAGACTTACAACGTTCACATTTAGGGCTCGATTCTCTGTGGTGGATAGAGCGCATATAGTCCAATTTATAGCGTTGCTCTAAAGCAAACAAAAAATATAGATATCATATGTTCTGTTAGCTGTCGTCCATGAAGTTTCAGCTAGAGGTACTTGCCGTGAAAGAATGACTAACTCACCAAACAGATTAATACTATGATTTATTTCTTGTCTACTAGTGTCAATTCAAACACTAGGGACAAACGCATTAACGTCACGCCAGAAGGAACAAGGTAATGCTAAACTGTATCATCAGCCTATTGCTTCGATGGTTGTGATTCGTATTTTTCTACTTATTTATCAAGGATATAAGCAAAGTGAAGTGAACTAGTGACTTCTGGGTAGTTTGTTTGTATAAAACATACAGCGATAAAATTACAATATCACTAATATCGTCGTTAATTGTACGACTTTTAACGTAAAAAAAAAAACAACGAAAAACACATGAAAATTATAATCAAGTGCGTATGAACGGTTTTAGGATAAATATTTGATTGTTGAGATGCCTGAAGTAACAAATTCGTAAATGTGCATACATGTGAGTTTCAGCGTTTGATGGTCTACTACATTGCCAAGTATTTAAAGTCTGTTGTATTTATAACAAAAATTACCAAGTTGTGAAAATCTTGTCTTTTTGAAATTCAAAGGAGCTTTCATTGTTTTTGATTTTGCTTTGACTCAATATTCATTAATACCCGATCTAAGAATTTAGATAATTAGTAAGCATCATAAACATTATCTGTCTGCAAACTATGAACCTCTTTAGTCTGTTTACTTCTATAGTTCTTAAATACTATAACTAAAACAATATCAAAAACTTGGGACATTTCTAAAGTTGCTTTTATTTTATTTTCCTGATTTTACAAGAACTTTATTCTGATTACAATCAGCATTGCTATCACATTTCATCGAAACTATTGTACTAATTTTATGTTATGCAAAATTTTGAAAGTTTAATAACTTAATTTCTAAAATACAATTCTTCAAGTTCTAAGTTATTTACTTTAAATAGTAACTAATGATTTCTCAATGCAATTATTGTTGGTATTTATTATTGCAGTGTGATATCTGCGTTCTGTCCACCGTGGGAACATGAACTTGGGATATTAGCATTGTAAGTTCTTAAATTTTTAACAGACGCACCGAGAAACTTTTCAGTACAAAAGTAGAAATATCTAAATGAAATAAATTTTAAGTAAATTCAGGGAATGTATATTACGTGCATAACATAATTTTTCATCAATTTGTAACTTAAATATTACTTTTCTTTCGCGTTCTTTTTTTTTTTTAAGTTGGAAGTTTCTTAACATCATTAGGAAAACAAATTAACGGGTAAACATCACATCTTGAGTCTCATCAAACATAAGGAACTGATTGTCATCAAAGTAGAGAAAATGCTATTTGTTTGTTTTATGGCTACATTAGGCTATCTGCTGTGCCTACTACGGGGGATCAAACCCCGGAATTTAGCGTTGCAAGTCCTTAAACTTACCACTGACCCAACGGGGAACGGAAAGAACGATATAATGTTAATAAAAAGACTGAACAAAGTTAACTGATTTTAACGAACTAAAATAGACATCGTATTTAGTAAGAACAAAGTAAGATTGAACAAAATTAATTGATTTTAACGAACTAAAATAGACATTGTATTTAGTAAGAACAAAGTAAGATTGAACAAAATTAATTGATTTTAACGAACTAAAATAGACATCGTATTTAGTAAGAACAAAGTAAGATTGAACAAAGTTAACTGATTTTAACGAACTAAAATAGACATCGTATTTAGTAAGAACAAAGTAAGATTGAACAAAATTAATTGATTTTAACGAACTAAAATAGACATTGTATTTAGTAAGAAAAAAGTAAGACTGAACAAAATTAGTTTGCACTAATAGTATAATTTGTAGGAAAAGGATACATATTTATTTGAGTATTGTGTAGGAGTACGATACAAGAACATCTAATTATACAATTCCAACTTGTATATATGTTATTAAATTAAAAATGAAAGAAAAAAAACAAAGTTGAAGGGGAGAGAAACTGACAGAAACATCGTCTACCATCTGTCCCAAGGTAGCGTAGTCTATTTCGTTCACTACAACAAGTTTAGTTAGAAAGACTAACACTTATACCTACAGTGTAGTACTTACTGGAGTTTCTAAGGATGACCACGTTTAGCAAATAGCTTTTAATGTCAAGATTTACCAAGTGATACAGAAAGAAGCTTAAATAGGCCTATAAGCAGACTACCCATTCTACTTAACACAGTATTATTTTCACAGTTCCAAGCCAGGTAATGCTACCAGGCCCAGTCACACATCCAAACACAGCACACACTCCACACTACAGCATTGAGCAAGCCTTACCGAGCTAGGCAGTGCAGCCAGGTCCACTTACTACAGTTACCAAACAGATACTAAACATTTCCACAATGAGGTTTGCCGAAAGCAGTTAACAGGTTTAATCAGACTTGGCAGTTTGACAGCACTTATCCACATCAAAGGATTCTGGGCCAGATTCTTTAAAATCCATAGTGTGGTGAGACGCGATCACTTAAAGCGTAACCCAAATAAAAAATATCTGCCTCATCTCCATTGTTCATGTATTTCTTTTATCATTTCCTTGTCGCCACCCCCAAAGTATACACTGTAATTTCTTACTTTTTTTCATCTAAGTTTGATAAAACATTTACGTAATTTCAGCATTACACATCAACGGCATAAAACTAATGGAATCCCACACACAAACAAGTAGTTTAAATGTCATTACGGAAGACATTATGAATTTAGCATGGAAGAAATATTAATTTTGCCATCTCGCTCTTCTCTGAAGAATAAAAAAATGTTTTAGCAGCAATTTCAATGATAAGGGATAAAGATATGTGTAAGAGAAGCTTGAATCTAACTGAAAGAAATATTTGGTGCTATTTTTGATTTCATGCATCTAAGAAAGAATGATCTATCGTCTTATCTTGTCTTTAAGAAGACAGGATATAGTCTGAAACTGAACCTCAGGAACATGGATATATATATATATAGTCCTATGTTTTGTCTTGGAAACTAGAATAGTCTGAAATTGCACATAAAGAAACAGGATATAAATCGTCCTATATTGTCTCTAAGAATCAAGGATATAGCCTGAAATTGTATATAAGGAACCAGTCTAAAATTGTAATTAAGGAAGCAAAATATAAAAAATCCTGCATTGTTCTAAGAAACAAGGATATAAGCTAAAATAACATATAAAGAATCAGAATATACATAATCCTATATTGCTCTTAGAATCAAATATATAGGCTATAATTGTACTTAATGAAACAGAATATAGATTGTCCTATACTGTTTATAAGGAGCTAAGATATAATCTGAAATTGTGTATAAGGAATTGGGATATAGTCTGATATTGTATGTAAAGAATCAGGATATAGAGTGAAACTGTACATAGAAAGCCAGTTTATAATCTAAAATTGTATTTAAGGAACCAGGATATGATCGAAATAGTCTTACGATATATCCAAGAAACCCAAATATAGACTGACATTGTTAAATTCAATATTGAGCGATTAAGGAACGATGAAATAACCGATTTTTGGAAGAATATTTAATCACTGTCAGTAGCACAATTTGGCAAGATGATTTAGGGAAGCGTTTGTTTGTTTGTTTTTGAAGTTCGCGCAAAGCTACACGAGGGCTATCTGCGCTAGCCGTCCCTAATTTAGCAGTGTAAGACTACAGAGAAGGCAGCTAGTCATCACCATCCACCGCCATCTCTTGGACTACTCTTTTACCAACGAATAGCGGGATTGACCGTCACATTATAACGCCCCCACGGCTGAAAGGGCGAGAAAGTTTGGTGGGGCGGGGATTCGAACCCGCGACCTTCAGATTGCGAGTCGAGTACATTAACCAACTGGCCATGCCGGGCCGTTTAGGGAAGCGATGCGATTTTTAAAAATATGACGATTTATGAGAAACATTAAAATACATACGCATTCTTCAGCTAAGAACTAAACCTGATCACTTGTTTTATGTAGCTGCGAAAAAGTAAATTTAAATTACATTATTTTGTTCCTTGCTTATGTAGTGGGGCACATTTCTTTTAAAATAATAAATAAGTGAAGAATGATGAAACATACTTTTAAAATAAACCACTAATAGAAACTTATGTGCTGTGATAACTACAGCATGGGACATAAGTTGAAATATATTTGCTCTGAAGCTTAAGGAATAAAAATGTGAAAATAGACACATTAACTCATGCTGTAGAGTTATGAAATAGTGCTAATAATCTGTTCAATATTATGGTCTTTCATTGAGTCCACTCGGGTATTCACAAGCTAAAACATGATGATTACTTGTGTGTACGATGGGGGGTGCACCGGATGCAATTGCACCCGGTAAATTGTATCCATAGATGTAAGATATATAAAAGGTGCAAATACTGATCTATATGCCATCAAAATGCCAAATTTTCAATGAAAATTACAAACTTTTTCCGGGGAAGGCATACCCCCGCTTTCCTCAGTGTGGTTTTGCCACTTAATTATTTTTTCTCCAAAAGTAGCACCTTCCTCCGGATCCCTTCTATACGTTCTGCCTACTCTTCGGGATTACATTATACTAATTACCTATTTAATGTTTAGATGTCCATCATAAACTGGTATTGAAGAAGTTTCGCGATTCCATCTTGGTCATGTTTAATTTGAATCGAAAAAATAAAGAGTGTTTTCGGTATTTATACACAATAATTGTACTTCTACAATGGGAAAAAACTACTCTCAGTAGGGATCAAAATTCGTACCAGAATCATTTAATAAGTGGATTTTCGCGTTATATCAGCCCTCATTATGCCAGCTATAAAAATTAGTTTTAAGGTAGTTACGTTATATTACTGAATAGTTATGTAGGTTAACATAAGTACCATTTTGTCGCAAAAACAATGAGTCGATGGGAAGGGAATCTCCTAAACTGAGTGTTATATGACCAAAGTTCTAGGCTAGATAAAAAGCTAGACAACCTCATGTATATGGTTGTAGCTTTTTATCTAGCCTAGATCTTTGGTCATATAACATAAAAATACAACCATATACATGAGGTTGTCTAACTTTTTATCTAGCCTAGATCTTTGGTCATATAACATAAAAACACAACTATATGCATGAGGTTGTCTAGCTTTTTATCTAGCCTAGAACTTTGGTCATATAACATAAAAACACAACCATATACATGAGGTTGTCTTTTTTATGTTATATGACCAGAGTTCTAGGCTAGATAAAAAGCTAGACAACCTCATGTATATGGTTGTGTTTTTACGTTATATGACCAAAGTTCTAGGCTAGATAAAAAGCTAGACAACCTCATGTATATGGTTGTGTTTTTAAAAATACATATTTAATTACACATAATCCTACAACCATAATGTTACTATTGTGAAGTTTTAATCATTATAAATTTGTCAAAGGCAGAAAAATTACAGTTCATTTCGGATAACTTAAGTGAATAATTAAACTGCAATATCGCCTGTTTGTTATTAAGCGCCAAGAATCATCATGGGTTATGTGTGCTATGCCCACTACGGGTATGAAAACCCGTTTTTTAGCATTATAAGCCTTCAGACTTACCGTGGGGCAAATTGCAGTGTAAAACATGAGTATGTAGTTTACCGAGATCTTATGGCAAGGCTACAAGTATTCATTTAAACTATTAACTTGTGATTATTTCTCGTTTTGTTGCATAAACTGGAACGTGGGTAGAGCAAGTTATATATAATGACATTCTCACTAGAGCGCGAACTTACTGTACAGAGTTACAAAAAATGCCTTTAGCTCATTCTGTCGGCCACTAAGGGGGAAAAAAACTTAACGACACAGTTTATTTTGGAACATTTGAAACTGCAGCCTAGTTAGTTGAATTAGTCCAGTTTTATTAAAGATAACTGAGTTATCTCTGACTTCTAATACCTTTATTGCTACAATTGTTGAAACAATATTTACATCGCAGGTGTATTCCTTAAGGAATATTGTCTCAGTTGGATTTCATTAACTTTAAATAAAATGGGAACACTTAATGCAGATGTGATCATCAAATCAATAAGTCCTTTAAAAACTTAATATCCCTTATCTGGTCTCTTTGAGAAAAAACCGATAATTTTCACATTGGAAATTTGCTCACATTTCAATTTTATTAAATTTTATGTATAAATGTGCTGTTAATTATATTTCAAGTAAAAATAAGTCGGTGTTATCGCCATGCTGTCCTAATACATAAATCAATGAACACATTGACTTTAACACACATTTCACTACTGACAGAACAATAATTTAACATAACATTCTCAGAGAATGTCTTCTAAGAAATACTGATTCCAAATAACCTAATTGTATATGTGCAAACAAATCACACAACTGAAGCTGAATTAATTGTTTCAAAGCAGATTGAAACTAGACTGGAAAACTAAGTTACCAAATACAATGGCGCAAATCTTAAAAATACAAACAAACTATATCTTACCTTGTTATTTTTAAGATCTTACTGAACTAACCATGTGGGGGGAAAAAAGATTGCTTCCAAATATATGATAACCGTTTTTATTTAATTTTTTTCTCTCTGACCTGTACCTTTTTCCTACTGATACAGTTTGATCGACTGAAATATTAAGCCTGTTTTGAAAGAGATGAAGAGGGAAGGCTTATGGAATTCAGCAAGCTAGATCTGGTAAGGAAATAATAATTTGGGAGCTTAACAGCTTAGATATGGAGCTCTTTGTTTGCTTTCACGGCTAGTATTGTCAGAAAGAATAGTAGGATTTGAGAGTCAAACGCACCTATGACTCCAAAGTGGGAAGCGAAAAATTTTTGGGGGTTGGGGGGAGAGCATTAACGGGACGCGAACAATAGAATTTCATATTGACATTCAGGGATGTTAACTACTGAGGCTCGCTCTGTCCAGAAAATCTTAAGTAGTTTTATTAAGACTTGCTAAATCAGATTTTTCTGTTTTTAGTCCATGAATCATAAATTCATCTAACACTACATAAAAATATACACACGTAGGTTAGGATATGGAATATTCTACTAATTGGAAATCAAGCCATGAACTCTTTATTATCCGTACATATGTTCATCTTCAGTAATATGTTCATCCTCAGTGTGATCTTATAATCATAAGACTTCTTGAGGTGAATTTTTTATTGATGAAAACGGGTTAAGAAATACATAGCAAGAATTCTTGGAGGTTAAGAAAGATACCCAAAGCCAAAATTTAAATATTAAACAATTCTAACAGAATAAGCCAAACAACTGCTGTGTTCACTTGTATTCTTACCTTCGTTTTTCTAAAACGCAGCATTAAAGTTAAAAATATTAAAAGAATCAAATTAACATATAATTAATCCAAACTTGTAATAAAAATCATCTACTCTAATTCCTCTTCCACCTCT